CGACCCAGAGCAGTGCAGTGGGCGCAGTGGCACCGCGGACGGTGGCTGGTTCGTCCAGGTCAGGAAAGGCTGACCTTGAGAAGAGCAAGCAGACACTGCTCAGGTGGGCAGTCCCCTGGCTGCCGTCCTGGAGCAGGAGGCCCGAGCCAGCAACAGGTGTGGCCAGAGCTGGCCCCGAGCTGTCCTGCTGTTATTTATAAGGGGGGGGGACATTGGACTTGGAGAAAGAGGCTTTCTCCCCGTCCCAGCTCTGCTCGAGGGCTGGGCAGGTGTAGATCAAGTCACCCCAGGAGGCTGGTGCTGGGCGGCCCAGGGGCACTTGGGTGTCCAGAGCCTCCAGGGTTGGTCTGGGGAGGCTGGCCCCTGCCCCACTGGGTGGGTGACAGGAAGTAACTAAGCGTGCTGTTGGGGAAAGGGGACAAAAGTGCTCACCACCTCTTTGGGGCCTGTACCCGTCACGGCTTTGCTCCTGTCCAACCAGTCAGGAAACCGTGCAGAAAGGCCATGACGTGGGCCAGGGAGCTCAGCTAGGGGCAGGCAGAGCCCCTGTCCTCAAGCACCAGCATCACAGCAGGCCCTGCCCTGCATTCTGGGGAGCAGCAGTGTGGGTCAGTGGCCCGGGCAGTGAGGGGTGTCCCCAGGTGGGGCTGGGTGGGAGACTGCTCAGTCCTTGGGGTTTGCTAAGCTGAGGCTCTGCGTCTGGTGCCGTCCACTGCAGAGTCCCTCCTGTCCAGGAGGGGAGCTGAGGCTGCTGCCCCCAACCTGGTGGGGCGTGGGCCGGTGAGGGGTAGGGAGTAAGGCCACTGACACCAAAAAGTAATCAGAGCGGAATGTGGGAGGCCTGTAACCTCAGGGGCTGGGAGGACACAGGAAAGGAGGCATTCCCCTCTGTGGGCCCAGCAGACCAGAATCTAATCTCCTGTATGAGCTGTGTGACCTGGGCCAGCGGGGCAACCTCTCTGTGTTTCCATTTCCTCTTGAGACGTGGGGACAGTCTGACCTGTCCTGCAGGGTAGGTGAGGCTGAGCAGGGGCCCTTCTGTGTTCCAGGATCCACTGCATCTGCTGTTACAGCACCAGGCTCCGGGAGGTCATCACCAGGGACCTGCTGCCCTCCTCTGCCATGATCAAGGAGCTGAGCCAGGAGTTTGGGTTGCCCATTTCCCAGGAAGAGCTCACAGAGGGAAAGCTGGTGGCCCCTCCTCCTGCCCCCAACCTAGAGGACTTCCAGCACCGCAGTCCGACCCTCACAGATGAGATCCAGGCCCACCAGGAGAAGTACCTGCGGTGGCGGAGCACCATGCTGCTGAAGCATGAAGACGTGCAGCACAGCCTGGTCCAGGTGGGTGCCCCGTCCCCCCGCGTCCTGAGCTGGCCGGCCATCCGCGGGGACATACAGGGCAGATGGCGGATCCTGAGCACGGCACGTCTCTGGCTTGTGTCTGCCTTCCCGCCCGGGAACCCCAGGCGGAATGGGCGGGACGTGCCAGATGCAGGGCACAGCCACGCCCGAGGCGTCA